ACGAAGATGAAAAGAACAACATAGATTGTTTAGCTGTTGATACCATCAGGTGGCTAGAGTTATGTATTTCAGTATCATCTAATACCATACTCCTTTATTTAATCGCTACGGAGTAGGTCGTCTCCAGTCCTCATACCTGGTCACCCATGATAATGGGATGAGAACGAAAGTTGACGTGTGTGTCTTTCTTCGGTAGAGGAACACTCTTGGGTTCGAATTCCCTAGATGCCAATTCATTTTTCATCTAGGTGGGATTACTGGTATTTCTGGACATGTCTCTACATACCTAGTAGTTATCTACTACTCGAGATTGTTTACCCTACTCTAGCCTAGATTCATCGCTCTCTTACTTTAGAGCTTATAGACAAGGTAATACGTCATTTTAAGTCCAGTTTAACCTCGACTGTGAAATCGCCTTCACTTGACATTCATGCACATCGCAACTTCTCATGTTTAAAATATGCAGAATATGGAAGCAAGCATCGCTAGTCCCACAGCTCGAGGAAAGTGTCCCAAATGATCAATCTGTCCTTTCTCGAGTGTTTGTCCACCCTTCCGTAATTTATTAGGTAGGTACCAAGATTGTCTCTGAGGCCACTTGCCGCAGCACAGTCCAACGTCACCCGCACCTTCAACTTAGTAGCCAAGATAGAAGTAGATGAGGGTGAATATGCCAAATGTTCCATTTCCAGCTCCATCCCTCCCAGGTTCCATTTTCCAGTCTATACACTTCTAGCTGTCCTTCGCTTATCAATAGATCCCACAGTGTTCACAAATACCAGCAGTCATTCGTTGAATAAGTTCCTTCGAGTCTTGATACTTCGAACAGTTGGAACATCGATATCCAAAGTAATTCTACGGAAGACAGCACTATCCCCTCGGAACCAGTCAACGTAGGTAAGTCTTTCCGCTTTCACTGCAGGCTCCATCTCTAACAACGTGACAAGAGAGCAAGCCTCCGAGAAGATGGATCCGAAATGCAAATTCTCCTGGAGGGTCTGGCAATACAAAAAGACGGTGCCGACAATCCTTAAAAGATATGGAAAAGGCTGCAGCTATGTCTACGTTAATGTAGTCTTGTTCCAACGCGAGCCCGGGCGCCAGGATTCCGTATTGTTTGTGAAAATACCGCACAACAGAGCTCTACACCCTTCTGGTGCTATACACCGTGTCGTCGAGACAGACCAAAGTTGGCATCTGCCGGGATCAATGTGTGCCAAGGATGATCCCACCATCCTTGACAGACTCTGGCTCGAGGTTTTTATCAATATGTATGTACTCCTATCTACACCCTCGTTTGTCTTATGGTCAGAGGCTGACAAGTGAATGACAGGAGCGTGAGAATCACCAAATTCAAAAAACTGCTGGCCAGCGAGGTCGTGGTCATTGATGACATAGACTTGCTTGAAAAAAAGGTTCTTATTCTAACGTTTGTGGCCGAGTACGAGAAAAAGCCTATGGAGATCTCAATTGAGCGATATGTTCACCACCACTAGGCGTTGCCAGGTGACATTAAAGATCCGCATTTCAATGTGCGATCCAGGCGTCTGCGTGACAAGCTGTCGACAGCTCTATGGTTTCAACATCCCTTCACGAATATGTTCGTGCCACCTGTCCGTTAAACCACTTTCGAGGTCGCATCAGTTTGTTTGAGTACAATCTGACATGATTCGCCAACAGTCTCAGACTGTCGAACTGGTACTATTTGCGATTCTATTGATGGGCTGGCATAACCTGGTAGTGACTTGGGGCAGATTTTCCATCTTGTATTACCTATCAGCAGCGTCTTTGTTTTGTCTATGCCTTAGGAGCGGTTAACTAGAATAGATGGGCGAATAAGAGGTGTGGCTTATTAGCGACGCGGGGGGCTTATTCTCATTGTATTTTGCCTTGAATCGATTGTATCAAATTGTTTGTGGCTCACACAAAACCCTCATGGTATATGAAAGAAATGAGTGAAGTAAATCAACTAATACAATATAAAGGGCGGTAAAGAGCGCGGTGCTATATAGGAACAGAAAGGGAGTTTTCTCAACCCCAAATTTCTGATCTATGTATTCTTAATCCGCCTCGACCCAGACAGACTATCTTACGAACACTTTGAAATATAAAGTGCTTGTAGTGGTAAGTTTTATTCATACCATCTACATCAGCACCTAGTTGTATTGTTGTGAAGCCGCCCCTGGGAGAGCGCCAAGCCACTGCTCATCGCTTATCAGATACCTGTACATAGGTAGGCTCTACACTGAAGGTACTCGCAGGTAGGTACCTATATCTAGACCGCCTTGTTCAACTGACCCACTCCTGATGGCAGCTTACATGCCTACCTGGGTACACAGGTAAACTTCATCCGTTGGGCTCGTTTGCTTAAGAGTTGCCTGTACCAATACCTCTAACCTTCAACTGCACCCCCTGTGCCGTATGTCATTCGTGCATCGCTAGCACTAACTCGTCAAAATAGTGCAGTGACTCTCAGAGCAACCTAGTCAAGCTGCAGGGCAGCTCGGTTCTCTGAGAAAACATCCACCTTCTAGCTGTCCACTCTTCATTCTCGCTCATCCTGCATCTTCTGCTTCCTGGGATTGATCGGTCCGTGCAATGTCAAGCCTGCTGACGGACAGAGAAATTGACGATGCTGCCGAAAAGCTAGCGGCTTTTCGCATAAGGAATGCGGAGGAGGATTTTCTACAACGTTATGCAGATCTCCTGACCAGCTACAAACAACTGAAGAGTGACTACGAAGAGGAGAAGGTCGGCAGAGAACGATATAAACAGTTGGCGCGTAATCAAGAACGGAACCCCTTCGTGCTGGTCATTGTTGATGGGGACGGGTACATATTTAAAGATGAATTTCTCCACCAGAACGCTGATGGTGGCTCGAAGGCTGCCCAGCATCTCAACAACGTACTCAAGAAGAGCCTACAAGGGAAAGGTCTTGAACATTGCGACGTAATGGTCCGCATTTACGCCAATCTCACCAACCTATCCCGGACTCTTTCCAAACATGGACTCGCTACCGCCGATAAACGCTCCCTCTCCCCCTTCGTGGCCAACTTCAACAGGTCATACGGGCTCATGGACTTTGTCGATGCGGGTGAGCTTAAAGAGAATGCAGACTTCAAGATACGAGCTCTACTAAATCTATATGCCGAGAATCTGCATTGCAAGCACATCTATTTTGCTGCGTGTCACGACGTCGGCTATCTCTCGGAGTTGACGAGGTTTAGAGGGGACCGCAACAGGGTTACCCTTATTCGATCACCTGGCCTCGCTTTCCACGACCAGTTTCTCAAACTTGAGCTGGGAATCGAGGAGTTACCCGGCGTCTTCCGTACAGTACCTCTCGATGGGCCCGTACTGCACACGAAGCCTAATTCAAGCGCCGATTTGATTAAGACGACCCCCCCGATTGGACCTTCTGCCACCGGTACAACATATCAGGCTACTAGTTCATGGGAACCCCAGAAAGTATGCCAGTTCTACCAAGCTGGCAAGTGTCGATTCGGGGGAGATTGCAAGAACGCCCATATCGATCCCAGAATTTCGACCCCGGCTAGCTTTACCAAACCCCTCTATCCCTCTCAAACGGGTTACCAGAGTAACTTCGACACTGAGATCATGAGTAATTCTGGTCGTGTGATGAAACCATCAACCACCACATCCCACTATGAACTTGATAGTGTATCATCAGGTCCAATGTCATCGCTGAGAAATGATCTCGCCTATCTATTACCAAAGAAGGGTGATGTACCAGACGGCTATGTGGCGGTGAATAGACAACTACATCGGCTGGATGCTTACATGCAACCGCCTACCTCAGCAGCTTCTGCTAGACTTAAGGAGCTATCTAGCATTAGAAAACTCTGCAACAACAAACAACTGACGAATTCCTGTCCCAATGAGAACTGCGAATACGAACACAACCCTATCCCAGAAGAACTACGGCCCGCGCTAGAGTGGTTATCACGTTCATTACCTTGTATGAGGAAAGGGGCTTGCAGCGTTCACTCTTGTGTTCTCGGTCATATTTGTCAGAATATGGAATGTCAATATCGCGGCGGCAAGGTTAAATGCAAACTACCAGGACGCGCACACTCAACGGATTTTACCGTGGATCATTATCTCCCTGATCCGGGTCATAATGATTCAGTAGATACGGATAATGCGACCAACAGTCCTGGCACTATTACACCATCCAACTCAAACAGTCATGTGAATCAAGTTCCTAGCGCTGACCCCTGGGAACTTTCCTAGTTCGACACAGACGCAAGACTTGGAAGAGGTTACGGAGCGAGTGAGAAATCCAACGAGAACGCTCAATTATCAACGGCGAAATTCGAAGAGTCACCCTTCTTTTAGCAAACAAGTTGTGGTTGGCCGTAGATTTCGACTTTCGCAGACTTACCGAGCGGTGCAAAATAAAATGTCTACTTTTTACTACTACAAGGTATACGATGACATGTTTGACGAAGTATAAAACATTCACCAAAATGGGCATACATTTACACTATCGAAAAGTTTAACCTCCTTAGTGGGGGGTTATTAGAGCAAAGGTCATAAGAGCCAACGATGGCTATTAACTAGCTTGTTTAAAAGATACGTAATGACTAAAAGTGAGGCAAAATGCCGGAGAGATTACCACGGACCTTAAATAACAGAGTGCTTTTTCGTAATAATACAATCTCATATGTACCCTAATGACTGGCATCTGTATCATCTGTGACTCTAATCATGAAAGAAAGCCCTTGCATCTCAGATAACCATCGCGCTTAGCTTATGTAGGTAGGTACTCATGTATTCCGATATACAAATACCTTACCCACGCAGCATTATACGCATGTACCTACTGCGTACCTATGTAACAAAAATTCATAGAGCTCAGTCAAAATGCAAACTTGTATTATCCACAAATCAGATCTTTGCCCACTTTTAGTCAAAACCCACCAGAACAAGCCTAGCTATCTAGTGACGGCTTAACATTGGATCCAGCACGAATCAACGGCCTCGTGGCCCAATGGCAAGGCGTCTGACTACGATTGAAATCAATGATGAATCGCGATCAGGAGATTCTGGGTTCGACCCCCAGCGAGGTCATAGAATATGACAAGTTGTTTTTTATTTTTTATGTTTTCGTTCTCTGTTTTACTGAAGTGCATTTTCTATTTTATTTCTGTGGGTAGGCTAATTCTCGTGTGCTGCTTGAATTTGTTTCACGTATAATTGCTGGGCTTATAACGTGGCACCTTTTACGAGCTTAAATTTTCTGACTTCATGAGATGGAAATCTCAATAAATGTCTAGCTAACCTAATTGCTGAAAGGAAAAAGATAGTAATGGGTTTAATGTAGCTATAATTAGGCTATCTAGTGCTCGTTGATGTTTTGCTCGCCTTAGATATTGTATGACTTGACTAGCTAATACTGCCTATTCTAAGCTAGGAGGTTTAACCAAGGTGATTTATTTACCTTTTGCTTGTTCTACAACATTTCTTGATAAAGCACGGCTTCTAGTCTCTTGTGGCTTTTATATTTATGCCTACTTGATCACAAGCAAATCTCCTGTATATTAAGGCAGCATTACAACGCGCTCTTTTAGATCTCTTCACTAAACATATCGCGGCTGATCGTGTCGGACTTTGATGCGACGCACGATTTTAATAACTGTTTTCTACTTCACGTCAACTAAGACATTGGTTTTATATAATTTATAGTAAACCATAGACGAGCACAATTGGGAATGGAGCTTTTTATACTAAGTAAGTATGCCCCTGAGCTAGATGGATGAGTTGAAAAAGGGGGGGGAGGGGGGGACGCTAGCGCCGTGGCGTGAATAACGAATGCTCTCCCGCGCCGATTAATATCAGCCTTCTTGCACTCTGTCAAACCAAATAAGCTCGTCGCCCTGAAGCTCTAATCCAACCTTTACAGTCTTATCGTTGTGAAACGTAAACCGAGCCGCGATAAGGTCATCACCGCCTGCCTGGAAGTCGCTCATATGAGCAATGTATTCTGTCTGCTCACGCACGTGGTCAAGAACCAGTAAGAAGCCCATTGATCGGTCACCAGCGTCGATGAAGAGTTTGTTGTCCTTGATATCTACGGTGATTCCATGGTATCCTGGGTTCCAATAATCGCCTGTGTAAGCGCTGAGTGGCATCTTCTGCGGCTCTGCGTCTTCACGCAGGACACGTCGCATCTCTTCTTCTTTCGGATCGTGCTCGTATTTCAAATTCGTATCCGTCACTACTTTATCCCAGTCCAATCGTTCTGGTACCGGCACTCCCATAACTTCATCGATCAACTCCCGGGATAGGATATCGGCTACGTCTCCTGCGTTTTCCGTGTTTCCAAAGATCGCACCGCCGAGTTTGAAGTCTGGTACGAAGAAATGCCGGCTTGCAAAACCAGGCACGGAACCGTCATGGCCAATCACCGTATGACCTCGGTAGTAGAATATTTCAAGCCCAGTGGCGTAGAATATCGGCGAAGTTAGCGGATCCCCGTACTCCGGGTCTTGGGCTGTCAAACTTCGCATCTTGACGAGTCCTTGGTAGACCTCCTCGTCGATAGGATGTTCCCGATTCATCATGGCCTTAACCCATTTGATATAGTCATTCACGCTCGTGATAATTGAGCCAGCTCCTTGCGCTTCCGGGCACTCCAAAACCTCAAAACCAATGTAACTCTCGCTCTCCTTGTCCCATGAATACCCGATGGCAATTCGATCGCCAAGGCCAAAAGACCGAGCACGCTCCGGTTGGAGATGACTTGAGGACATCCCGAGAGGTCCAAAGAAGTGTTCTTGAAGGAAATCCGCGAAGGAGAGTCCACTCTTCCTTTCAACTAGTAACGTCGCAACCGTGTACATTATGTTGTTGTACATGTACTTTGACCGGAGCGGTGCCGTGACAAACAAGTTCCGTAAATTTCTCGTCAAGGATAGCGCATCATCTGTCTTTGCCGCTCGGATGCCTAGATAGGACTCATCGTGACTGCAACTGTCAGACATATAATCACATACGATGTCTCTTCGCAGATTCTTACCGCGGCAGACCCGTCCTATGGCTAAGGATGTCCTCGACAGTGACCCCTTCCGTATATCCCTGACCTGACATGACGAAATCTCCAGGGAGAAGACTTGACATAGTCGTTTCATACTGCACGTCGGGATATTTGTCGTTGTCACGGACCAGTAACCCGACCGATGCAGCCGTCATCGACTTTGAGCTAGATGCAATGTCGAAGAGGGTATCTGCCGTGCATGGCTTCGGCGGATCGAGCGATGCTAGCCCGTACCCCGCAGAGAATGCACGGTCGCCCTCTATGACTGCGACAGCGAGACCAGGCACATGATGCTTTTTCATGAGCTCCTCGACGTGCGACGGGAAGTCTGGAGAGTGAAGGTAATTCATTGCCGACGACAAATTCTGCAAGCTTTCTATAGACCTCTGTGATGGCTGAATGGCATTAGCATATAAGCTGTCGTTTATCTGTCTTCCTACCGTCTTTGCCTTTTAAAGTCGTTGAATATTCGACCTAATAAAGAAATACTCGTCTTCATGTATCCCTAGGCATCATACATGTTCATTCTGAATCATTCGCGTCTCTGATGCATGAGTCATCGGTGAGAGTACAGGTCAGATCGAACGACACGCGGCAGTGAGCGCGGCGACTGGATAGAAGCTCTTATATAGCCAATGGCCGATTTTCGATGCATTTGCGCGCCGCTTCTGCACATATATCATGCATCCACGACGCGTGTAAGACGGCTTCTCGGATTGAAAACAGCCCTACCAGCCGAGACAAACGCGGTCACTGGCGGAGATGTATGATGGATTGAGGGGAACATTCCAGTAAATACCACCTAAGCTAGCTGATCTAAGCACTCAACTTAGTCCTAAGCTGACTTGCAGCACGCACTTTTGAGTCCTATCATCTGTTTCGAAGGTTGATATTTACAATTCATTTTGTTGATATGCCGCTCAGTAGCATAGAACGTCCTGATTCCTCTCCTCCAGACGCTTCAATTCGAGTCGTCAGCGATACGCGGTCGATTCTTGGCTTCAGGCACCTGATGGCGTGTCGCTCCCAACCAGCTAGTTTCTCAAAGTCAGTAAAGGCGAGCTCGTCTAATAGTGTTGCAGATTTATTTAGAAATTGCATTTTGATCTAGTAACAATACTTCTTTTCTTGTATAATAGTTCTTCACTGAGTTTCAAGATGGAAAAGTGTCACGGCGCATTAGACACAAACCCACCTAATGAGCAACTGCTTCCTACCTACCTAAGCAATTGGAGATTGGGACCTCGGGGGTTTGCATACCGAGACATCAGCAACAGTGACAGTTGACCAGTTCAAGTCGATGAATTCAGCCTCTTACAGTCTATATATTCATTCTTATATTCTCCTATTATTGAAGATGCGATGCCCCAATTACCACTACATACTAAATGAGCCCTAACGACTGTACCTACCTTAGGTACAGTGGCTTGGTCCCCGTTTTCTAAAGTCTAAAATGTCTTCATCCTGCAAAGTCACTTATCTCTCCTCAATCACAAGCAAAAAAATAGATAAAACTTATTTTTAATAGATAAACAATGTATTAACTCACGGTATATTTCTGGACTGCGTTAGACTTATAATTGTGTTGTTATGCTGTTTGGATCTTGACAAAAAACGGACGGGACTTTTTTCGAGTGACTGTGTATTTCTAAGGCGGGTACTCTAGCACTATTTTTCAGTGCGATATTATAGCACCCACCTCGTACATGCCTAATCACCATGTAAGCCACTATAGCCTCTCCTAAGGTACCTACCTACCTAGGTACATTCACAAAAGCTTCATATAATCAACAGCTGGGACGTATTGTTCCGGCAATGACAAGTTTACATTTTGTAGTTACCTCTTATATGTCAAATGGAACGGAAAGTGCATCTCCCTGCCTAAATAGGACCCGTTGTATGTCGTTCCACGACTACCCCTCTTCGTATTCTTGCCCCTCATCGAATATTGTTGGCATCGGCAGAATCGAGGTTCAAGTATACCTGCTACCTTCAGTTACCAAGCCTCCAGACTATGCTACGTACACCAGGTCACTAAAAATTCATCTGTCACACCTCGTTGTTCGAGCTCATTATATCTTGCCCATGTACAATCAGTGAATACAGCACAATGGCTCGTTCTCGACATGAGTTAAGCGATGGATGGCAATTCCGAGAGGCCGACGATGGTTCGTCAAATGAAAATCCATGGCTTCCAGTGCAGAGTGTTCCAACTCAGGTTCATATGGATCTATTAGCCAACAAGAAGTACGCTAATGATTCAATTCTATATTTCTAATAGTCCTAGGTTAAGATTGTGGCGCGATCGGTTGCTCACACTGCTATAGGATTCTAGACCCCTTTTTAGACCTCAACGAGCTGAAAGTTCGCTCACTCGCGGACAAAGGATGGACGTATCGAACACAGTTCTCTAACCCCACAGAGCTGTCATCTGAGGTATCGATGACCACAGATCTAGTTTTTGAGGGCCTTGACACCTTTGCAACGGTCTTGTTAAACGGCGCCGAGATCTTGAAGTCGGATAACATGTTTGTGTCTCATCGGATCGATGTGACTAGTCTACTCAAAGATACGAACGAGCTGGAAATCCATTTCGATTCGGCGATGCTTCGTGGGAGGGAATTAGTCAAGGAGCATTCCCACGAGCATACTTTCTATGTAAGGCAGACAGAAGTTAGCCGTGTGCCTGTCCGAAAGGCTCAATGTATGTGCTTTCTGACTTAACTTTGATGCAACTTTCATCAATTCAACTTCTCACACAGTGACTTCTGCTCGGAGGAATTATAGTCCCATTGCTCTTGAGAACCCGAGGGGAGTGGCTAATCGTCTATGACTACAGACAACTGGGGCTGGGATTGGGGTCCCATTTTGATAACAGCCGGCCCTTGGAAACCCGTCTACCTTGAGCGGTACGTTACTAAGGTCGATGACATTTGGACCGAGTACGAGGTTAGCGAGGACCTTCAAACTTGTTCGGGCCGCATTTTAGCCAAGGTATCCGAAGCAAATGGCCGATCGGTTCGAATATCATTAT